CTCTCTCTCTCTCTCTCTCTCTCTCTCTCTCTCTCTCTCTCTCTCTCTCTCTCTCTCTCTCTCTCTCTCTCTCTCTTTTCTCCTCTTTGTCTCTTCGTCCCTCCTCGCGCCATCACTCCTTCCCTCCTCCCGCCATCCCTCCTTCATCCCTTCTCCGGCATCGTTTCTCTCTCTCTCTCTCTCTCTCTCTCTCTCTCTCTCTCTCTCTCTCTCTCCCCATTATCTTCCTACTCCCACCATCATCTTCCCTCCCTCTGCCCACCATTCTCCCTCCTTCCGAGTTTCTTCGTCTGCTTTCCATCACCCCTCCTTCCTTCGACTTTTTTTTTTTTTTTTTTTTTTTCACTGTAGTCGCTTCACGTACGGGCCTGCTGTTGAAGGCAGTGCTTTGATTGGGTGCTTTGGCCGAAGGGACCGCTTTGATCGGGGGGGGTAGGGGGAAGGGGGGGGCAGACACCTTTCTTTTCTTTTTTTCCCTGTGAGCTCTTCAATTATGGGCCTGCTGTTGTAGAAAGCGCTTTGATTGGGGGGTAGGACGAGGAGGAGAGTGAGCAAGTAAAAGAGTGACAGGGGAGCTTACCTGGCTATGGTGGTCTGCATCTTCATCTTCTGGGTTGGCACTGCACCTTGAAGGCCCCAGTTGGGGTTGGTACCTACAACGAAGACTCTGTGGATAGTGCTAGGCTTGGCGGCCATCATAGGATGGACACATCAGCTTTGCTTGTCCTTTTGAACATCGGAGCTTCACTCCAATAGTCCGCCATAGCCACCTGCTCGACCTAGTAGGAGGAAGGTGTGCGGGATAGCTATGGTGAACCTCTTGAGTGGCTTGCAGTAAGGGGTGGATTCGGACATTGGTTCTGGTTCATTCGTTCATTGTAATGAAAAGTTGGGGGAGTTAGATGATGGCGAGATGAAGGGGCATGGGTCTTTGCTGGTGTTCATCTTCTTCTTCTTCTTCTTCTTCTTCCATTCTTATTTCTTCTTCTTCCTTTGTCTTTTTCTCTTTCCAAGTTCATTCATTTCAGTTGCAATTGAATGGCATTATGTTTCTCTGAGTTGTTGCACTGCAAGATAGCCAGGATCATAACAGCACTCAACCTAAACATAATCGAGTTCGTTCTCATTCATTCCCACTTTTATCTCCCGGACCGGCCTTGGCGTTGCGAGCCTCCTGTTGCTGTGAGAACAGGGATTTTTGAAAGGAGACTTTATACCCATGGCAAAACATGGAATAGTCCCCATGGATCATACTGACATATTAAGATTCTACAATCAGAGAATAATCGGAATCCTGAATTAAATTTTTTCATGAACCTGGGGTTTCTAACTTTCTATATTTGCCAGAAATTTTCACGAAAACAAAACACATTAATATCCACCAAAAAGTTGGAAAAAGTCCGAAAAACGAATTTTCCCAAGTTCTGAGTTTTTTATTTTTACAGCTCCCCTGACTGCTCCTCATTTTCTTTTCTCCTGAGGAAGAATCCACCGATGCCAACCATCAAAGCTCAATGGCAAACACAAGATAAGAGAAATCAGTGCAATGGATCTATTGTTCAATACCTCACATTTGTTACCCCTCCAGAAAGCTGCACATTTGCAGCTTATCCCTGTTCCTGCTCTCACCACTCCGTGACAGTTGCACAAAGAATTCTGCCTTTTGCTCGCATCATATAGCTCGTCACCTGAAAACAGCATTGTGCATTAAACCGCAGCACAGTTATTGCATACCTTGCAGTTCAGAAAGCAAAAAGCAAACAGAAAAAAACGTGCACAAATAAAGTGGAGATTCAGTCAGCTGCAGAAGGATGCTTTAGGCTTTTGAAAGATGTTTTCAATGCGGTTTTAAACAGGTGCAAGGATCCGGCATGTGCGAACACAAAAACTCCAAGCTGCAAGAGCCGATTGACATGAGTTGACCAAACAGAAAGCAGAATGGACAAGACCAAGAGCACACAAATGCAAGAACACACTGAACACTGAAGTCTCTTGATAATTAACGCCATTTTCCACTCAATCTATATTCTATACAAGAAGGTGTAGTAGCCTAAGCCCTGATGTGACCGTATAAACTACCTTCCTAGCCCAGCCTATAATCACTAGGCTAGTAACTCTCACTCTCTCTCGCCTCTCGGCAGATGACTGCTGAAGAGTCTGATTAAAACAATGCTCTCCCATCAACCAAAAGTATCCACCTGTCCCCACAGCCTCCCTTCTGCTCCCAGGACCTCCCTTTCCACCTCGCTACCCTCTTCCACACAGCATGGCGCCCTTCTAGCTATCTTGCCCACCACTGCACTCAGCCCACTGCTAACGCTCTCCCCCTAGATGCTGGGTCACTCTAAGGAGGAGGTGGCGTAGGGGCGGGGGGCAGGGGAGGAGGATCAGGTCCGTGCCACAGGCGTCGCCACAGCGGGCAACCGCTTACTACAATCTTAAAAGAAAAAACGGTTCTCAAAATGATACAATGGGAAACAAGTCCTTTGGGACATCAGCTGAATCTGGAACGATACAGAGAAGATTAGCATTACCCTGGCGCAAGGATAACACACATAAATCGAGAAATGGTTCAAAAAGACGGCCATACAATGCTACTGAATGCTTATCTACTGATAGGCATGTGACAATGACTGTGGTTTGCCCTGAGGTAGCTCGAGACATAAGTTCCGCAAGGCCATCTGTTGATCAGTTATGGGGAAGTTAGAGAGGTCCCTCTGATTCTGATAAGAGGACCTTCCTGACCAAGGTTGTGACCCAATTGTTATGTACAACAGAGACTTGACCTCGTAACCTGATGTCTACGAGTTCTGGGTATGTAAACTGTAACCGGGACGTTAGGACAGCCAAAACCGCTGAAGGTTAACCTTTTTGGGAATGGTTTAACTTGTTGAGGCTGGGCTTGGGCACATTTTGGGTCACTAGGGGCAAGCTCACTTGTGTAGAGGGCTGAGAAGAACCAGAACTTAAATAGCTCAATAATCATATTTAAATCATGGCAATTCAAAATCAAGGGTCCCCCTTCATATTCCTTCACCCCTGTACTTCCCAGGTGGCTGAATGGTATACACATGTAACTGTAGGTTAACAGATCAAGTGTTCTTGTACTGTTACATTCCACAATATCAGAGGCTATCTATCCCCTGTTTCACAAAAGAGAAAGAAAGCTGTTAACAATTCCTTAAACCTCCAATCCCCATTCCACCCCACCCCAAAGAAAAAGAAAGAAACTTTAAGAAAGAGTACAAGGACCCGGAGCCCGGAAGTTGAAAATCAAATGTTATCTGTCGGTGTTTCTTTCACTGGGACTATCTTGGAACAAAATTATATGCTTCATTGATTCAGTTCATACCACACAGGGTCTCATTCTCACGCTTGCTTTACATATTGCTCTTTCCCTCACCTTCTGTGCCATCCACCTTAAGCATCATGTTGCTATAACTGATGGTAGTATTCTGCATTTTCTCATTGCGCGTCTCACTTTCGCCATCACCATCTTCGAAGTCAAAGTCACTGAGAATCACCATGTCCGAAAAATCATATTGTCCATTTGCAGAGCCGTAATCGTACTCATCTGCAATATGCTGAAGATCTTTGTGGCCCATTCTGTTGACTCCTTTCCGTCCCTTCTCCCCCTCCTCTCTTTCCTGCTCTTCCTCCCTCTCCTCATCTTTCCGCCTCCTCTCATCTAGATCCTCTCCATCTTGCCTCCTTCCCTCTTCCTCCTCTCTCTCTTCTCCCCCCMCCCTCCCCTCCTCTCCCTCTTGCCTCCCCTCCTTTCCCTCCTCTACTTCCTCTCCCTCCTCTCTCTCCTCTCCCATGTCTCCCTCTTCTCCCTCCTCTCCCTCCTCTCCCACCTGCCCTATGTCTGCCACCACCTCCTCATCCAATTGTCTATGATGTTCCTTGATTGGTTCCTTGCCCACCCCTTCACCCACTGCTAGCACTTCAGACTGGTTTTGGTCTTCTCCTCCCATTTCCTCCTCTTCTTGCTGGCCTCGCTTTTCTGATCCTCCACCCCCATTGTCATCAGCCTTGTTCTCTGATTCCTCATATCCCTTGTCATCCTGGGTGTCCCGCCCTCTTCCGTTGTGACCTTCCTCATCCACCTTATGTGTACTGCCAGCCTGACTATCTGCCATACCTGCCCTCTTCTTTCCATCCGCACTTGTATCTTCAGAACCTGCATGCCGCTGATCCTCCTCGTAATCCGGAACATCATCACCATCTGCTTCAGCCAGGAACTTGCCCAAATAGGGTGGAAATACTACTCCATCCACCAGATGAACGAGGACAGATCCGATGAGCACATCATTTGCCACGATTGGGAAACCATCCATCGTCACCTGGACCACATCACCATCCACATATTGAACCTCATGCTTCGACAGATCAACAGCTTCTAACACAATAGATGATCGGTTCATTGCGTCCTTCACGTAATGGTGCGATGGAAAGAGGCTGGCTGCCATCATTTCTATCAGAACAGTCCTTATACTCCTTGCTTTACCAACTCTGAACAGCTGATATTTCAGCAATCCCATCTTGGACGGCAGGAAGAATGTGAACGGTTGGCTCCAATCAATCAG